CCCGCCGGGTGTTTTTGCCGCCGCTGCCTGTCTGTTACTTTTTTCTGCATGAGAAGGACGGTCATTGGTGGAAGAGGGAGAGGGGGCGGAGTTCCCCCCAATCAGACTGCATTGATGGGCAGTGCAGTCTGTATGTCTCTGTGTGGGCAAAGTTATTGCTGGTATATTGTTTTTTGTAGCGCTGTATATATATTGGTATTTTACTAATATCAATTTTGACTCCCTAGGAAACAATGATGTCAAGAAAGAGAAAAATTTACTCGGAGTGTAGGATATTCAAAGAACAGTGGACTTATGATTACTTTTTCATGCAGTACAAGGAAAGAGCTGTGTGTCTGATATGCCAGAATATAGTGTATGTGTTCAAAGAATACAATTTACGTCGACACTATGAAACTCAACATAAAGATAAATATGATTGTTTGGTCGGAGAAGTGAGAAAAGATAAAATATTAAAACTGAAAAATACATTAACAACTCAGCAAAATACTTTTATGAAGCAGAAGCAGCTAAATATTTCATCACTGCGAGCAAGTTTTCAAGTTGCCAAGCTAATAGCGTGCACTGGCAGACCATTCGTGGAGGGAGAATTTGTTAAAGAATTCCTTCTTTCTGTTGCCAAAGAGATGTGTCCAGAGAAGGCCGATTTATTTAGTACAGTGAGTCTTTCAGGACCTACAATTACACGGAGGATTGAAGAAATGGGAGACAATTTGCATCAGCATTTGCAAAACTCCACAAAAAAACTTTCCTATTTTTCCTTGGCACTCGACGAAAGCAATGATGTTCGTGATTCTGCACAACTTCTAATTTTTATTCGTGGGACGAATGACTATTTCGAAGTCACAGAAGAGCTTGCTGCACTGCAAAGTATCAAAGGAACAACTACAGGAGAGGATATCTATTGAAAAGGTTTGCCAAACTGTGAATGGTTTGGAGCTGAACTGGGCTAAACTAGCCAGTGTGACAACTGATGGTGCTCCTAGCATGGTGGGGTCTAAGAAAGGAGTAATTGCTCGCATTAACCAAGAGATGGACAAACATAACCATTCTCATCCAATAGCCATACACTGCCTCATCCACCAACAAGCGCTGTGTAGTAAATCACTGAAGTGGGACTCTGTTATGAAAATTGTGGTATCTTGTGTTAACTTCATTAGAGCTCATGCACTAAACCACAGACAATTTCAGGAATTTCTGTCTGAGCTAAATGTTGACTATGAAGATGTTCTGTACCACACAGAAGTCCGTTGGCTGAGTCGAGGGAGAGTTTTGAAACGTTTCAATGACTTACTTCCACAGATTACAGCTTTTCTGCTTTCAAAAAACAAAAAAGTACCAGAGCTCAATGATGCAGAATGGAAATGGCACCTTGCCTTTCTGGCAGATGTAACAGAGCTACTCAACAGTTTCATTGTGCAACTTCAAGGAAAGGGGAAGCTCATCTGTGATATGCAATCACATGTCAAAGCATTTGAAGTAAAATAAGGCCTCCTCATCAAACAAGTGAAGGAGGAAAACTTCTGCCATCTCCCCACAACTCAAAATCTGTTAGCAGAAAAACCATTGGTTGCATTCCCAAACAAAACATGTGTGGATTCATTGGAAAAATTGCAAAAGGAGTTCCAATTTCGATTTAAAGAGCTTCATCTCCATGAACAGGACATACAGCTTTTCCGTAACCCATTTTCTATTGACATTGAAAATGTGAATACAATTTACCAAATGGAACTGGCTGAACTGCAGAATTGTGACTCTCTGAAAGACGCATTTAAGTCAAGCAGCCTTCATAATTTCTATGCATCTCTCCCCTCTGAGACATATCCTCATCTCAGGAACCATGCACTCAAAATGGCAACCATCTTTGGCAGCACTTATGTCTGTGAACAGATTTGTACCAGAATGAAACATTTGAAATCTCCAACCAGATCTAGACTAACGGATACACACTTGCATCACTTGTTACGACTTGCAGTGACAAATATGGAACCGGACATTGACCATCTCATTAGCCAAAAGCAGGCCCATAGTTCCCATTGAAATACTGGCAAGTTTGTTGATTTAACTTTACTTGTTCTTCATTTTAAATATTGTATTTGTTCCCGTTTTGTTTCTTCACTTCAAAATAAGATATATGCAGTGTGCATAGGAATTTGTTCATAGTTTTTTTTAACTATAGTCCGGCCCTCCAACGGTCTGAGGGACAGTGAACTGGCCCCCTGTTTAAAAAGTTTGAGGACCCCTGCTCTATACCATAGAGCCCAATGCATCTCCGACCAGGAACACATTGCCAGTGAACTCAAACACGTACGCCAAGCTCTTAAGGCTAATGGTTACTCCGACTACACAATCCGCAAAGCCATCAGTCCAACCATCAAGAAGGATCCTGTTGAGGAGCCTTTCAAGACCATCACCTTACCCTACATTGCTGGGGTCACAAAAAAGATCTCCAAAATCCTGATTAAACACAAGATCCAGGTCCGATTCACCACAGTACATAAAATCCGTGATCTGGTCCCATCTGTTAAAGATGTGGTTCCAGATATACAGTACCCTGGCGTCTACAAACTAAGTTGCCTCTGTGGTAGCAGTTACATTGGGGAAACCAAACGACATGTCTCGGACCGCATCCGTGAACATAAAGCAGACCTGAAACACGGTAGGACAAACACCTCAGCCGTGGCAGATCACTGTTACAACTCAGTGGGCTCACATGACATTGACTTCTCCAAGACAGAGGTTCTCTGCAAGCCATCTGGCTATCATGAGAGATTCGTTCATGAGGCGATCCACATATACAAACACAGAGACAATTTCAACCGAGAAGATGGATTCTGGCTTAGCAATCATTGGAAGGACGTAATAAACCATTTCGGATCTTAACTGATTGTGTTCACGTTTACGGTGACTTTCAGACCGCGTTCCACTCACTGGCATTGTATTCTCCGCAGGGAATGGATTCTTTGCTCCGCTGCAAGTTTCCCCCCACGACTCACCCATTGACACGACGGTCAATGGTACAGTGTATAATAACAAATAGTATAACATTTATATGCTTAATACAATGTACAAAGTAATATATAGTATCGTAATTGTATAGTAAACATATAGCAGTGTGATACACATTAGGGTGGGTATAATAATACATAGTGTTATATTAAAGGTATAGGGTGGTTTATAACAATACAGTATATAATTTAATGTTGGGTTTGTCTATGGCAGTATATAGTACGGTGTATACTCGTGTGATGTAAGAGAATAAAGTTTAGATGGAAGCATATTATAGAATTTTTACGACGTAGAATTGTAATGTATTACTTACTGTTAGTAACTCAGCTTATTGTAGAGTATAGTAAGTATACTGATGATGCTATACAGTTTATACTTTAGTTTTTATGTAGTTATACTTTAGTTTTCTACGTGGTTGTTTAGTAACTGCAGCTACATACTATTAACATTCCTTTCCTTTGTTAATGCTACCCCCTGCACCCTCCCTTTGGTGCTGCTGATCCTGCATAATGCATGGGCATAATATGACTTTGAAACCCCCCCGCCCACCTCCTACGCATTTCCCATGAATATGCTAAATTCCTCTTGATATGCACATTCTTTTTGTTAAGGTGCTCTTCTTCCACCTCCAACCCAGCTTATATATAAGCTCCTAGCTTGGCAGTGTCTCATTCTTCACCTGAAGACGGCTGCTTGCGTTGTAGCCGAAACGTCGTGAGAATTATTTTAATTTATTATGTTTTATTTTTATTATTTTATTACTTCCCTTCTACGTGACTTCACCGAAAGAACCAAGAAGATGAATCCCTGCAGTCACGAAAGCTTTAAATCGAAATAAAATAAATAAATAAACGAATGGCATCAAAGCACAAAGAACAGCATGGTTGGCTACGTATGGTGCGACAGAAGTTCAAAATACATCAATACCCGCCATTCGCCACAAAGTGACAGCGATGTCACCACTGTGCCTCTGCCAGGCCAGGTGGTCACGGTATAGACCCAGGTGCCATGGGTTGACCGACTGAGATGAATGGCCGATGGCAGCACCTGTGCCCCCTTCTGTGCCAACTTGCTACATTTTAGCCGCATAGTGCTCCACTCGTTGTGAGAATCGCTCCTCTGTCCTCCGTTGTTGTTGGAGGGCGACTGCCTCCGACTGCCCAGTAGCGCCCTTCACAAGCCTTCACAGAGGCCGATCTTGACACTGCTGGTACCAGTCATCGGCAACTCCACTCAGCTATATATCCAACTCTACCACATCAGTCCATCTCTTCTTGAACCTGTGCCGTGCCCATTTAGCCCCCTCTATCCAGCCAATTCGAAGCTGCTTGGGCATGCAGGCTACATGACCCAGACAACACAGCCTCCTCACCTGCCGGAGGAACTCACTGATGACGGCACTGTAGCCAGATATTTAAAGGATCCGCGAGCTCCTCACACTGTAATCTAGCCTGGTTAAACCCAGGATGGTTCATAGGCAGGCTATCCTGAATGTTTAAAATCAACACAAATGTTTTTTGAGAGGGGTTCACGTTTTGCAAGCATAGACAAGGGAGGGCATTACTGTGGCCAGAAGGCCCGTAGCTTCATATTCAACGATCGACCAGGTAGCTTTTACACAGAGCTACGCACCTTTTGATTATCACGGTTGGCTACGTTTGGTTCCAAAGAACTTATACCTACATACATTCCCTCACACATCTCCCCAAAATGCTGAGGAAGCCTGCGAACCTGTTCCTGCAGGTCACAGATCTCATCACCATTCTTTCCCTTCAAGATGGCAATAGGTGTGTGGCGCTGCAAGTTACATTATTTGCTGAAATTACAGAGCGATTTGCGATCGTGAGTTACTGACGCAGATTCCATATCCTCAGCAACCCGCGACCACTACACATCCTTGCAGCGCCGTTCGGAGAATTGTGTGCCCAGGAGAGAGAGACACACACAAATAAGGAGATGTTGATGATGATGCTCATGAATTCACAGTTGAAAAACTACTGAACTGCTGTGGATGCTCCAACGTCGCCCCGGGCAGCTCCACTGTTGGCCAGGGCAGTTCCAACGTCGCCCAGAGCAGCTCCAACGTCGCCCAGAGCAGCTCCAACGTCGCCCAGAGCAGCTCCAACGTCGCCCAGAGCAGCTCCAACGTTGCCCAGGGCAGCTCCAACGTTGCCCACGGCAGCTCCAACGTCGCCCACGGCAGCACCACTGTCGATGTGCGGGACATCGACGTGCAGGATTCCACTACCGCGGAATTGAATGATGAAGGTTGGTAGTGAAATCTGACCTCTCCGCTACTCTTACGCCCACCCCACCTGACCCCACCCACCCCTAATGTCATCCACTCAGTGGGCCGAGTCTTCTCCTGGGCAGGATCAGGAAAGTGTTATCACTGAACACGCGCATCATCAATTGGTCGATCGTTCATATTCGTTCTAGAGATCAGCGGAAAATGCTTGCTTTCGGATTATCCACGATTTAAAATTTTCCGCAGCCATCCTGCCCATCATTAGAATGGATAGTCGAGAGTCTATTGCGTGTTTTCAATGGCTTTGTGCCGCCCCCTAATCGCCTCCTCTTCATTCTCCCCCCCCCCCCGCTACTCCTGCAGATTCAAAACTCCTGGAAAAAGGACAAGTAACTGCATAGAAGAGAGAGGAGGCAAGATGTTAACCACCTCGCCTGGGATGCATGAGGTTGTAGGTTCCATCCCGACCCTGAAGCTCGCTGTATTTTTGGATTTTGCATGTCTCCCCCCCCCACCCCTGTGGTCACTTGGATTATTTGGGTCTTCTGGTGTTGCCCTCCACATTTATGAACGTGCCTTCAGAGTATATTTATTCACTTTATTCTTATTTTTCTATCTACGTGACTTTACCGAAAGAACCAAAGAATATGACTTCTTGCAGTCACGAAAGTTTTAAGTCAACAGTATTTTGGCTGTTAGAAATTTCCGCTTGATAAGCTATCATTTGTGGCCAGGTCACTTCTGAAATAGAGCTAAATAGTTCAGTGGGCCTTACGTGGCTTGATTTGTCCCGATGAAACGTTCCGAGTTTGCTGTGGGATCGGCCACACAATGAGAGGGCCAGGGTACGAGAAGGTTGGTGGAAAATTGAGATCACATTTCATGTTATAAGCGGTGGTTGCGGCAGTGGTGGTAAAGGTGGTGGTAAAGGTGGCGGTGGTGGTATTAAGGTTGTGGTGGAGGTTGTGGTGGTAGAGGTGGTGGTGGTAGAGGAGTGACGCTCACAACAACGAGCAGAGCGCCAGGTGGCTAAAGCACAGCAAGTTGGCACAGTAGGGGGCACAGGTGGTGCATCAGCCAGTCGTCTCAGTCATCTCAGTCGACCCGTGGCACCTGGGTCTGCCCCGTGACCTCCTGCCAGCGGACTTTCGACACTTCATGTATTCTCAAGGTGCACATGGCCTGGCACAAGCGTCGTGGTGACGTCACCGCCACTTAGTGGCAAATGGCGGTTGTTGTTGGTGGTAGAGGTGGTAGTGGTAGTGTAGCAGTGGTGTAGCGGTTAGCGCTACACTGCGCTATGAACCCGGCGACCCGATTTCATTACCCGCTCGCGGCCAACACCAGTGACGATTATTTAAACGAGTCCTGGGCCTCTCCTGGGTCGACTCAGCCTCAAATGAGTACCTGGTGTGGTGTGTAAACATCGCCACTGGGGAGACAAAGGAGGTCGGGCGTGGTGCTGGCCACCCACCCCCTCGTGTACCCTTTCGGCCTTCATAGGTGCTCGCTAACAGCACTTGCCCCAACAGTCTGTTAAGGCTATACGGGGATCTTTGTTTTGGTGGTGGCGGAGGTGGTGGTGGAGAAATAATAAAATGTATAGAGACGAACAGGAGGTGGTGGTAATGATGATCATGTGGAGGAGGAAGATAGGGAAGAGGTGGTGGTGATGGAAGAGATGAGGTGGTGATGATGATAATGGAGGAGGAGGGGATAACGGAGGAGGAGATAAGGGAGGAGACAGAGGAAGGAAGAGTTGAAAGAAGATGAGTGGGTGGGTGACTGGGTGGGTGAGTGAGTGGGCAGGTGAGTGGGTGGGTCAGTGAGTGGGTGTGTGGCTGAGTGAGGGTGGATTATTTCAAGTTCAAGTTTCATGTATTAGGTATAGCCCTGTGAGCCATGCGGCTCTTGAGTCGGGTGCAACCGCAACAAACAATATAAGAACAGAGAACATCATAAAGTGACGACGCGCAACAGAAACATCCTGGAAACACCAGCAAAATCTTCCAAAAAAAACCCCACTGTATTACAACGCTGTGTGCAAAAATCCCAATATGATGCAAGTCAAACAATAACAACCATAAGACGTAATACTAGGGTTCTTCCCCCTTTTTCCGGCAACAAAACTGAAACCTTTCCACAAGGATCCACATCTGCATTAACCACAATACTTGCAGTCAAAATGCAAACAAAAACACACTGATAATATATGCATTGCAGACACTAATCCTTGTAAAAAGGCTTCAGCTCCGTTGCCCAAAAAATGGGAAAACCCCCATCATTATATTTTGGTACTGGCAAAGGAGTTCTAATGATGACCCATAAGACAATTTAGAATAAAGTTATTAGGCCAACTCCGCACTTCTGCAAGAAACATGGCTTAACCATGTTTTCGAAATCACCAAAATAAAGCTATAAATACAATGTAACAACAGTAATCATATGAACTTTGATTCAAATTTAACAATAAACGATATACATAACATGTACGACTAAACTTGCAGCCATATCTGGCAGCATGACACTCCCAGTGTATGATGTGTGAGTGAGTCCGTGTATTATGAGTGAATGGGTCAGTGGTTGTGTGAGTGTATGATCTGTGAGTCAGTGTATGATGTGTGAGTGAGTCAGTGTATGATGAGTGGGTGTATCACGGCATCCTCCCCGCCATTGCGGTGGGTGGGTGAGTGGGTGTGTGGGTGAGTGAGGGTGGATGATTTAGTGGGTCGGTGAGTGGGTGAGTGAGTAGGTGGGTGGTTGAGTGAGTAGGTGGGCCGGTGAGTGGGTGGGTGAGTGAGTGAGTGAGTAGGTGGGTGGGTGAGTAGGTGGGCAGGTGAGTTGGTGGGTGGGTGAGTGAGTGAGTGAGTGGATGATTTAGTGGGTTGGTGAGTGAGTGGGTGGGTGAGTGAGTGGGCGGATTATTTGCTGGGTGGGTGGGTGAGTGGGTGAGTGAGTGAGTAGGTGGGTGGGGGAGTGAGTAGGTGGGCAGGTGAGTTGGTGGGTGGATGATTTAGTGGGTGGGTGAATGAGTGAGTAGGTGGGCAGGTGAGTTGGTGGGTGGGTGAGTGAGTGGGTAGATGATTTAGTGGGTGGGTGAGTGAGTGGGTGGGTGAGTGAGTGGGTGGATGATTTAGTGGGTGGGTGAGTGAGTGGGTGGGTGAGTGAGTGGGTGGGTGAGTGGGTGGATGATTTAGTGGGTGGGTGAGTGAGTGGGTGGGCAGGTGAGTTGGTGGGTGGGTGAGTGAGTGGGTGGATGATTTAGTGGGTGGGTGAGTGAGTGGGTGAGTGATTGGGTGGATGATTTAGTGGGTGGGTAAGTGGGTGGATGATTTAGTGGGTGGGTGAGTGAGTGGGTGGGTGAGTGAGTGGGTAGATGATTTAGTGGGTGGGTGAGTGAGTAGGTGGGCAGGTGAGTTGGTGGGTGGGTGAGTGAGTGGGTGGATGATTTAGTGGGTGGGTGAGTGAGCGGTGGTGTAGCGGTTAGCTCGCTGCGTTACGAACCCGGCGACCCGAGTTCGATTCCCGCTCACGGCCACCAACACCACCCGGCCGCCTTTGGGGAGACAAAGGCGGCCGGGCGTGGTGCTCACCACCCACCCCCTCGGGTGCCACAGTGCCGGCCTTCATAGGTGCTTGCTAACAGCACTTGCCCCCAACAGTCTATGCAGGCTACACGGGGGATCTTTGTAGTTATGATTGCGTCATGACGTCACCACGGCGCGAAAGAGATTTTACGCAGTTCGTCCTGACGTCACGCGTTTTAGTTTTGCCCGTGATATAATCCGTGCGTCATGACGTCACGTCCCTACATACCATCCAATTCACAACGTGCGTCATGACGTCACTGCAGCAGTTACCGCCCCCCCCCCCCTTTGTGCGGTGACATCAATCACGACGCGGTGACATCACTTGACCTAGGAACGGAATAGTAATTTGCGGCATGACGTCACCATCACGTTGCGTCTCAGTATTGTACGTCATGACGTCAGCACATTGCGCTATTTAAATGACCAATTTCCCTTAATTCTAGATTTGAAGTTTTCGTGACTGCAAGGATTCATATTCTTTGTGTTTTTTCGGTAATGTCACGTAGGTAAAACATTAAAATAAATTAAATCACGACGTTTCGGGCGCAACACAAGCGTCCTTCTTTAGGTGGGGACAACTTAGTGAAAGCACAACCGCTTAAGTGTGTCTCAGAGGTGGATGTGACGAGTAATTACATCAAGTTCATTTATTAGGTATAGCCCTGTGAGCCATTCGGCTCTTGAATCGGGTACAACCGCAACAAACAAAAAACAAAAACTTGAACAAGAAAACATCTTAAAGTGACTATGTGCAAACAGAAAATCCAAGAAAAGACAGCAAAATATTGCAGAAAAAGCACCGTACACCAACGCTGTGTGCAAACATCCCAGTGGGATGCAAGTCAAACAACAACAACCACAAGACAACTTAGATTGAGGCCATCAGTCTAACTCTGTACTACAACAAACAAACATGGCCAAACCAAAAAACTTTTCGAGAATCACCAAAATAAAGCCATAAAAGCAATGAAACAGTGATCATAGGAACTGTGACCGAAATTTTCACAATGAACGAGATAAACAACATGTACCACCAAACCCTGCAGCCATAGCTGGCTGCATGAGTCACTCCACAACAGCAGGAGCATCAGTCGGAGAATCAACATTTTTCAATGCACCTTTAAGATCAGTACACTAAATCAAAACACAGATCATACTTTGCAGCGATCATCCGGAGCGAAACATTTTATTTTAGGCTACTGATTTGCAGTGACAGCTAGGGGTGTACAGCTCCTCTAGAGCAGTTTTGAGAGAGGATCTCACAGGTAGTGATTCAAGTTGCAGTTTATTGGCAATAGCATTCCAGACCCTGGGGGCATCAATAGCAAAGGCCCTTCCTCCAGTATTTGTACGTCAATATGGAATGTGAAGCTGGTAAATGAGCGAAGACCTTAGGTCAAATTTGTTCTTTGAAAGAGAGAGGACATCCAGCAGATTCTAGATTTGAAGCTTTCGTGACTGCAATGATTCATACTCTTAGGTTTTTTTCGGTAAAGTCACGTAGGAAAAAAAAGATAAATAAAAAAATAATAGAAATAATAGTAGAAATAAAATAATAATCACGACCTTTCGGAGGCAACATAAGCTTCCTTCATCAGGTGTAAAAAGGCACAGCAAAATAACTGTAATAACACACCCCCTACACACACACCCTCTACAAACACAATTTGTAATGTCCCATCACAAATAACTTTCACTACAGTTATTTTGCTGTGTCTTTTTACACCTGATGAAGGAAGCTTGTGTTGCCTCCGAAACGTCGTGAATTATTATTTAATTCAAATAATAAAAAAATATTTATTTATTTATTTCTCCCTACGTGACTTTACCGAAAAAACCTTAGAGATCCAGCAGGTAGTCTGCGGATATAGTCGCGGGGGAGATGGGGGGAGGGGGCATGGTGAGTGTGGGGGCGGGGTGTGGGCTGGGAGGTAGCGTTGCGTATACCCCGAGCAACGATTGGAGTCTTTTCCGAGACCAAGGTGCTCTGCAAACCTTCTGGCTACCATCAAAGGTTTGTACACGAAGCCGTCCAGATATATAAACACAGAAATAACTTCAACCGTGATGATGGGTACAAACTGAGTAATCATTGGAAAGATTTCGATTTAAAGCTTTCGTGACTGCAGGGATTCATCTTCTTGGTTCTTTCGATAAAGTCACGTAGAAGGGAAATAATAAAATAATAAAATTAAACATAATAAAATACAATTCTCACGACGTTTCGGCCACAACGCAAGCAGCCGTCCTCAGGTGAAGAACAGGTCTGTCGGAAAGACAGCGTCTGACATTGGAAAGATGTTATTAACCATGTAAACAAGTATAACCCGTAAAAACTAAGTTTTTCACTATAAATCCTTTATATGCGTGGCGGCTAGAGTCCTCTCGTCCTCTGGCTTGAGATGGCTGCCACCTATGGGTCAGATGATTGTCTGCCAGTATTAAGCAATTGGTAATTAAATATTTAATTTGTTTTCCCTAAACAGTGTAAAATTTTGGAAAAAAATTCACGAACATTAATTGTCTCGCACAACGAGTCTGTGTGCAAAATGTCAGCTCGATTGGATCACGGGAAGTGGGTTAAAAACGACCGAAAGATTTGCACGGTCGTAAGCAAGCAAGCAAGCACGCAAGCACGCAAGCAAGCAAGCAAGCAAACTTAATATAAAGGATTTAAAAATATTTATTTACGCATATTTGTACCATCTTATTTGACAGGTACTATTCTACTTTAGCGAGTGTTGACATCCCCAGCGTTTAACAGCGCTGCCTTTTTAAATCCTTTATATTAAGTTCGCTTGCTTGCTTGCCTGCTTGCGTGCTTGCTTGCTTGCTTACGACCGTGCAAACCTTTCGGTCGTTTTTTAACCCACTTCCCGTGATCCAATCGAGCTGACATTTTGCACACAGACTCGTTGTGCGAGACAATTAATGTTCGTGAAAAAAAAATTCCTAAATTTTACACTGTTTAGGGAAAACAAATTAAATATTTAATTACCAATTGTTTAATACTGCAGACAATCATCTGACCCATTGGTGGCAGCCATCTCAAGCCAGAGGACGAGAGGACTCTAGCCGCCACGCATATAAAGGATTTAGAGTGAAAAACTTTGTTTTTACGGGTTATACTTATTTGTGTTTCGATTGTCAGCCAACACCGGTTACAACTTGAAGTCGAGGTACACCGATTGTTCTCTTTTAGCCCCGCCCACCCCACCCCAACACGTCCCATTCACTGGCTACCACATTCAGATAAGCCCCTCCCCCCACTCTACCTTAACTTGTATTTAGGAGCTTGTCTCTTGGATTTTTTCCTCACTTAATACAGTAAATTTTAGCTGTGACGGTCCCACCTGATGACGGAGACTTGTGTTGCCTCCGAAACGTCGTGATTTATTATTTTTATTATTATTTATTTTTATTTGTAACTACGTGACTTCACCGAAAAAACCTCAGAGTATTTCAAACTGAGGCTTTGTAATGTAGATGGTGTAAGTAGATAAGCCACCTTTTTAATTTTAATTTTACTTTTATTAATTTTAATTTTTTACCTACGTGACTTTACCGAAAAAAACCTAAGAATATGAAGCCAACCTTTGTTATGCTGCCGGGTAAATTAATAAAGCATAAAAGTTCAACCACCCCGGTACGTCATGACGTCAGACCTTTCAACCAACTTTTTTTTATAATGTGCGTCATGACGTCACATCCCCTGCCTCTCTTACGTCGTGCGTCATGACGTCACCGCCTCCACGTCGTCCTTGTTTTTTACGCAGCCCATCCCGACGCCTCTCGCATGTTTTCCCGTTACATAATCCGTACGTCGTTACGTCACATTCCCCCCTTGCAGACCCCTTTAACGTTGCGCGTCATGACGTCACTTTCCACAATCCTCCGCAATCACCGTGCG